CGCAGACCGGAGATAATAATTGTTGGAACGGCACGGTTCCGTATGGTGGGGGATTATATCGGGCCGGTTCTCTTTCGCTCTCGTTCGGGAATGGCATTACGGTGAAAATTAATCTCGAGCCTGCCGCAAAAGCGATCCGCTTCACGCGAGTAATCACTCGTCGGCAAACAGCCACGATAAACTCGTGTAATCCTGCGTGATTAACCGCTCTGACAGGCTCGAAGCCTGTGTCACCTGTGATTTACCAGAATTCTTGTCCTGGATCATTAACCATCCTAAACGATCTCGAAATCTGTTTCCTCTCTCTCTCTCTCTCTCTCTTCTCTCGCCTCTTTAAGTAATTATAATCTTGTTGATTCATTCATGTCGCGTTGTATTCGTGTATACGCGAAGATTTTGTGTATCGATTGGGTTTTTATTACACGCTTTCAACACTTTGTAATTTTAGCGTTTAATCGATATCTTTCTCAGATATTTTTATATTTCGCGCGCGTATTTTTATTATTCTTCTTACGTTCTCCCCCGTTTCCTTTTTCACATATTTGTCCTCAATGTTTTCCTCCAACGTAGTATTGGTCTGATTATTGCTCTGATCTTCAAACATCATCGGTCGTCCCAGAGATATTCAAGCATCCCGTGGGAGAGAGTTGCAGGAGGAGAGAGAGAGAGAGAGAGAGACGGGGCACTGGCAATCAGGTACGTTAATGCCAATCAATTATGTACTGGGTACCACGTGTACCCTTCTCCCCTCCTTCCCTCCAGCACCTTCGTTTGGGCTGTTGGTTGGTCTTCATCGATATCATGCTCGCTACATCGTATATATTAGTTATCGATCCATCGGAACGAGTCGATATATTCTCGCTAGGATAGTTTGGAAGATGCCCCCCAATTGCGAACATTGCCCTGATCGGTAATTAAGACCGGGAGAGATTGATACGGATATTGTTTGCATCAAATTCGGTCAAACTTGGTTTTGATTTGCTTATATGCTCGATATTTGCAAGATGTAGATTTTCTTCGAATATGGAGAAGAAAGAATCGAATTTTTCTTTGATTTCTGGAGGAAATTTTCGAATAATTTTGGAATAATTAATCGAATTTTTATTTTGATTTTGAAAAATTTCCCTCGAAGAAAAGGAGGAGGAAGAAGAAGGAGAAAAGGTTTGTGTTTTCTGAAATTGAATTTACTCGATATTTCGTTGGAAATTTTCGAAGAAAATAGAATGAGGAGAAATTTTAATGATCCAAGAGAAAATATTCCCCTTAATAACCGAGAAGATTTTCTCCATCTTGTTTTTTATTAGAAGAGCGAATTACAAATTTTTTGAAGATTTTTTTTGTTGTATTTTAAAATACCATTAATTAAGAAAAATAATTTCGAAGAAAAATCCTTTTTACTCGAATCCGAGTATCGAACCCGAGACCTACGGAATACTAATCTAAGAATCTAGTCCCCGAAGCCACGAAGATTTTCCGACCTCTACTTTATCTTATAACGTATTTAAGCGTAACAAATGGGGATCTCACGTTTCTTATTAACGCTTTAACAACTTTCTTAACTCTTTCAGCAAGTGCAATCACGGTTTAGATTACCGACAATTGCCTATTAACACTTCAACGGGATTAAATCATTTGATAATTTTACTGGAGCGGAAAAGTGGTGCTTAGGACAATTACACGGTTCCGCGGTTGATCAATCTCGAACAACTACATCACAGGGTTGCCGTTGCCTATCAATTTAAACGTTCCAGTTCCACTTGACCACCGAAAGAACCCTCCTCTTGTTAATTTCGACCCGAGGGAAAACACGGCGATCAATCTCCTTATCGCGAAACTGGCTTCTCGCGTGTAACTCTAATCCACTACGTACTATAATACGTGCTCCGCAACCGCGAATTAACACGGAATAATTTTTTATTTCATTACGAGTTTATCGTCTATATCTCTACGAATCGCATCGGAAATTATTCCACGATCGTTATAATTAAAAGAAACGATATTAAAGGTTTCGAAAACCTTGGTTTTTCCCTTCGAGAACAATTTCTGTCCATCGTATCGAGCGTGCGAAGTAAGAAACGAGGTAACGAGGAAAAAGTTATCCATCGAGTGAGCGAAGAGGAAGGCAAACGGAGAGCCTCTCCTTCGTCTTTGAAGAAGAAGGAATCGAGAGGGGTACAAATAAGCGAGGTTTGCACCCCTCTCGCGATAAAAGTCTGTAATTAACGATCGCCCAATCGTTCCGGATAATTAAACTACGACAATTAGTCGTAGACTTTCCATCGCCAATTACCATTTATCAATCCCTTCGGTTCTCGCGAAAGAATCCCCGAGTCTTCGGTCGAGAAAACCGCGCATTCGTCGTAGTTTTATAACCGTACAGCGTTGAAAGATCCTCGTAATTGATCTCTCGATCGATACAATTGAAACAAATTTGCGCAATTTCTTTTGAGAATAAAACATTCGAAGGGAAGGAGAGAGCGTATGATATTATTAAAAACGTGTTTATTCTAACGGGATCTGAATGTTAACAAAAAATTGTGATTCTGAATTTCGACGAGACGCCGGGAGAGATTGGACGGACGAGGAAAATTGGTTAGACAAATCCAGGCATGTTATCCTAAATTTTAAGGATTATTATTACCATAATTTCGAGAGAGAGAGAGATTATTTCTCTTTGTTAAAACATTTCGAGAAACCTTACACCTTAATTGCCGCGTTGCGTAACACTCTTAAAAGTCACTTCGTAACTTTACCTTTTATTCATTCTCATCATTTCGAAAACAAGCGGAAGTTGATTCCTACAAATTTCATCTACCGCTTTGCCACTCAACAAAAACTCCAATTCAACGACGATGTAACGTGAGGTTGAGAATAATAATAACAACAACAACAATGATAAAAAAGGGGAATCGCGGAGTGATAAAACGACGCGAGATGGGGGAAGTTTTTCGAATTCACGCGTGGAAAGAGAGAATTCTCCGCCAACAACTACACTCTTATTCATCCGTGGAGGGAAAGACAGGGAGAGGAATGCCGCCACGTTTCTTTTTTCTCTCCTCGCAAATCCTTACGCTACGAATCGCGCCGCCTAATTATCCACGATTGTTTCCGCGAGAGGTGGCGCCGCCCGCGGAAAATATTCGTTGTAACGAAGTTCCGTTGGTCGCACCATCACCACCACCGCCACCACCACCACCGTGGAAAGAATCTCGATATCTAATTATGCGGTGGAGCGTGGCGGTGACCGTAGCGATCTCGTCGCCTGTTCGAGATAATTAAACGTGGACAGAGGAGGAGGAGGAGGAGGAGGAGGAGGAGGAGCGTGGAAATGGAGGGAAACGAGAGAGAAACGAATTTATAAAAGCGAGCACCGACGATTCGGTCGCGGGTTGAGTAATCACGGGGCGGCGAATTGATTGGGCGGGTCGAGGGAAGGTCTCGATCGATAGAGAGATCGTGGCGACAGATTCGGACACGGTGGATAATTAGACGACGGTTTAACGAAGTGTTGTAACGAGTTTATTAACGAAAAACTGATCGCTACGTAATAATCCAATCGTGGCGCTATCTGTTTGAAAGGATTTTGTAAAAGAGTATTATTATTATTATTGTATAATTGTGTTTCGAAACGGAAAGAATATCGAATTTCTCAATATTTTCGAGTATTCGAGTGAAGTGTAATACGAAGGAACGAAAGGATTAATTATTTCTCTTTCCGTCGAGCGATTGAAAGGGATGTATTCAAAGAAACTGGCCGAAGATGGCGTCTCGTCGAAAATCCTTAAGAACTTAAGGAAATCGTCCGTCTCCCTATTCTCCCTCCCTCGTGTTCCGTTCATCGTCGACGACGATCACGAATGTTTCACCGTTGAAGCTTGTCGGGGATGCTTTTGGGGCTCGTGGCAAATTGCCGGTATGCTCATGCGGGTTGGCTCTGCGGCGAGAGGACCACCGCGTCACCCTCCATCAGAGCGAAACTGCTCGCGAAAGAGCAGCCTCAGCCTATTCGATTCCTGGAGAAAACGCGTCGAGAGCCAGACGCGAGGCGAGGCGAGGCGAGCTTCCATTTCTCTGCTTCCTCTTTCGAGCTTCAACCCCTCCTCCACTGTCTCAACCATTCCATTGCTCTTGCTTAAACTCGCCTCTTTTCAATATTTCTCTGTCCCTTTCTTAAAAATTACTTTTCCTCCCACCTTTTATCACGGACATTTTTTTCCATTCTCCGTTTTCCGTTTTTCAAAAAGAAAAAGAAAAAGAAGAAGAAGAAGAAGAAGAAAGAGGAGTAAAATTCCCCTCTTCTCTTGTTCTTCCCTCCCACTTTCTTTCCTCTTGACTCGATTCTTACCTATATTTTAGCAGCTCTTTTTCCATTTCCTCCGGTTCAATCAGCGCTGGCAACTCCCAAGCTACGTCGTTTTATCAGTCAAACCATTCCAGTCGTCGATCCCGTCGTGTTTCCCTTACATCTCCTCGTCCTTTTTATTAACCATCCTACTTTTCATCTTTCCACCCTTTGTAGAAATTTCTGTTTCTATCCTCTGTTTATCCGTCCACCATTGAGAGACTCTACTATTAATTCCGCTGCATTTCATCCCTATGAATTCTTACTACTTCCCCGGCCAATTTAATCTCTCCTTTTCATCCCTTTTCTTTTAATTATTCCACACTTTGTAACTCGTCTCCGCGCCTCGTCTCTCTCCCCCTTCCCATTTCGCTCGCTCTTTCAAAATCGATGTCTTCCCTCGATTAAATTTTAAATTTATCCCTCACGGAACTAAAGAAAGAACGACAGACGTAATTGATATGCATATAATAAATATCCAAGCAACAAATTTCTCTCTCGAGAACCATCTCTATTCGAGAGGAAGAATACGAGGAATATGAAATTAGAAATGCATCGCGTTCGAACGCGGCCCTCGAAGACAACGCGGATCAATCTTCGTGTACTTACACTCTCGATTTTCGAGGGATCCATGCACGAAACGAGCGTGATCACTCACCTGAAGACAGTGTCTCCTCGCTAGCCAGCCGATGTGCTGAAGCTGCGGCGGATCCGGAAGCGCGGACGCCAGTCGCAGCGCCTTGAGTGTGAGAGCTGCTAGAGCCGAGTGCAGAGCGTTGAACCACACGTTCGCCTCCGCGTTATCCGCGGCTCTCAACCAGCACTCGTGCACTCCGTCCGGGGAATGAAGTTCCAGGATTCGACCCTCTGAAAATGGAAGAGCCGCGTGGCGTTAAAAAATCGTTCCCTCTCCCGTGAAATATTTCTTTTATTTCATTTATCAACGCGCCACTGACACAATTTATCCCGAGAAAACGTCCCGCTTCGGATATATATTACAAGGGAATAAATTTCACCATTCTTTCTTTCCCTTTCTTTCCTTTCTTCTTTTTTTCGAATAACGACGGGTATTCTCGAGTCGAGTTATAATACTAAAATTGAAAGTTAAGAACAGTCGCGTCGAACAGCCTGTTTCTTTTTTTATATTCCAGTTTTATTGGAGCGGCTTAATAATCTTGCAGAGATGGCACGGCAGGAGGGTATCGACAGATGTTCCATCCCGGGAACAAAACCTTTCTCCCTGCGAGAAGTATATACCGTGTAAGGTTGTTTCTCCTTCCCTTTGCCCCTAATATCGCCCCTCGATCCGGACAGCAAGAAGGAGGTCTATCAGGTTTCGGACTTAATAGTTTTCGCATCACGGGCCAACATAGTAAAGGCGTCATATAACTTGGATGACAACTCAATTTCAAGTTGAGCTTGACGTTGTTGCTCGCGTGCGCACCCTTTCGCGTAACAGACTAATTCGCTGAAGCTGAGCGTGTTGTGGCGAGCGTGTTGCAACGCTTCGAACACTGCGCACGTGCGCGCGTGTGAAAGGCTCGAGGTGAAACGAAAAAACTTCCTATTCAAATTTCTCTCGCACGTTCCCACGTTTAACATTTTTGATACCTCACACGCGAAACTTTTCCGAGTAGAAAGTTGCCGCACGAGAGAAATTCCATATCGATTTCCCCGGAGTTAAAATTTAGTTTCGAGAAGAAGTTGGAACGAGCGTTTTAGAGAGTACGTGAAAGACTTTTTCTTTTTTTTTTCTCCTCCCTCCCTCCCTCCCTCCCTCCCTCTTTTTTTTGTTATGAAATAAATAGCACAAAAGGGATTTAAGAGGTTAGTAGTCGAGATGGATATTTCGGTTTAAAACCGAGGGGTGAACGGTATCGGTGGCTAAACACCTCGTGACCACCACGCTCTGAACACCACCTTCTGTATCCGGTTACCCTTAGTTGAAGGGGTTGGCGCGCGAGACCCAACGAAAGCAGCGCCGTAACAAACGTCCGCCGTCTCTTATACAAAGTATCCACTTCCACCTTCGTTTTTCTTCCACACTTTTAAGCGATAACGAACGTTACCAGCCTCCAGGGGAGGGAGGGGGCGTTATTGCCGCGAGCTGGAAGGGTGGGACGAGATTGAAAGGGGAAGGTAGGTCAACCCTCCGCGTATTTCTTACAGTGGGAGGAGGGAAGCGTGAGAGAAACGTTTGGGGTCCTTCCAAATGGACCTAATCGCTTCAGGTATTTCAGGAAGGGTGATTTGTTTGGGTATAGAAAATCAACTTGGGGTAAATATTGGATCTTTCTTTTTTTTTTTTTTTAATTTCACTCTCGAAGATCACTCGCGTTTTCGATTAAAAAGTTTTTTTTTTTCCAATCATTTCTCAAAGATTTCTTCAAGTCTTTCTTATTATTCGTATAGCTTGATAGAAAAGAATTTCTTAATAAATTTTTCGTTTATCGAAATTCATTATAATATATGCTTCTTTCAAATACAATTTGAATATTACTTACTACAGAATGGTGTCTTTCACTTTTCATCTTATTCTATCTCTATTACCTTTTTTAATTTCTTTATTATTCGTATGGCATAATAAAAAAGAATTTGAAACCTCTAATAACAAATAAATATTTCAAAATTTTCAACAATTTGAAAACAATGTTACGTTACATAATACATCCGTTATATCTTTCACTTTTCATTTTACTCTATCCACATATAAAGCAATTATTCCAATCTATCCAACCCAACAATTTCCATTTCACAAACCTCGCACGTTTCCCCAAAGGAGCTTATATATACATACACCTTCCTTCTTAATCGCACTTTCATTACCACTTCCTCATTCTCCTCGACGAAAGACCAGGAGACGCCATCGCCACAATCTTCCGAATAGCCAAAGAACGTGTTGTTTCCCCCACCCAACTCCTAAGTCCGTGATTCTCAAGCAGACAACAATACGCGAACGGAAGCATCTTCGAAGGCTCGCAATCGGGGAGACAACGGAACGGTTCAGCCACGGTTCGTCAAATCGTCCCGGTTAATTGCTCGCGACAGATACGCTCCAGCTTCGCTTAATTAACGAAACAACCCATCTCTCTTCCTCCACCCTCCTCTCCCTTCCTATCTTCTATATCCCCGTACATTCGTCAAATTTTCCATCGTTCCTCGCCAACCTCGGCGTTTCTCTTTCAATTTCGCCCCTCTCCACGATCCCGTGGAGCGTACGCGGAACGTGACCCGGTAATCTCGCTTCCGGTGTTGTGTATCCGCGCGTAATTTGCGCGCCTTTGACCAACGACCCGTGCGGGGCGCAAAACCGAGCCAACCAACAACGCCGCGAAGCCGCCTTTGTTTCTGGCGGCGTCGCTCGAAAACAGACCGATAAGGTTAGTAAATTAGAGGGAGGGGAGAAGAAGGGGGTTGCGGGCAAAAAGGCCGAGAAAAGAGGATTCGTCGCGCGGACACGACGCCGACTTCCTTTTCTTCTTCTTCTTCTTCTTCTTTTTCTTCTTCTTTCACTTTTGTCGCTCTCTTTTCCTTTGGGGAGAAAAGGGAGGGGAGGTTTCCAGGACGGAGCGCGGCCCCAAGGGATTTTTCTTCCCGTTTGAAGACGGTAAAAAGATTTATGGCGACCTCTCTCCCCCCCCTCTTCCGTCCACCGGCTTTAATTCAAATTTCCTGTTGCGGGATTTCCTCTTCCACTCCCTTTCTTTCTTCTTTATTCTGGAAGGGGATGAAGGGTTCGTCTTTCGCGCTTCTGTTTCCCTCCCCCTTATGCGCGCACCTCGCTCGCTTTCTTTTTTTTTTTTTTTGTTATCGCCGATTTCGTGGAATGGAAGTTGTGCGACGTCGAATAATTTTTCGGCGCTTCTACTTTTTCTTATTTCTCAGAGCTCGTCACATCGTTATCGACGAATCGAAAGCGACGAGTGAAAGGAGAAGGAGAGGGAAGAAACGCGCCTCTTTGTCGCTATTTCTATTTTGTAAAATCTTTGCTCTTTAATCCTTCTCTCGTCTCCCCGAGAGAAAAAAAAAAATTCTTTGTCGGATGTTCTTCCTCCTTTTTTTTTCATATCTTCCTCCCTTGTCTTAAAAACTTTTCATCTTTCCATCCCTCTTTCGCCCACCCCTCTCGTCCCTCTTTCGTCGTCTTTTGTGCTCGTCGCGCTCCTTTATTCTTTATATACCTTATTTTATTCCTCAACGGTCGTCGTCGTCAACCACAACGTTACACGATGGAGTCGTTAAACGTGACTCCAACGTCCTCGTTTTCTCTTTATCCGCGCGCATTCGACGGATTCCAGCTTTCGGTTTCACGTTTCCGAACGAGTAATGTATCCCTTCCCCCCTACCCCCTGCCGTGCCTGGCCGAATCGACTACTTGGCGGGAAAAGGCAACCGTAACCGGGCACCTTTGTGGCCGCCTCGCGAAAGTCAGGCGATAAGCTTGAGAAACAGACACTGCTCCGCGCTTTTCCTCCCCCTTTCCTCTCCTTCGTATCTTTCGAAACGTGCATTCGGTTTCACAAGGAGCACCGTGTTGTGCGCAGATGGAGTTTCGGATTAAAACTTGTGAAAGGGGAGGAACGACGGAAGTTGGAAAATTGGCAAGAACATAAGGACGAGAGAGAAAGAGAAAGAGAGAGAGAGAAGAGCCGTTTAAGGGGATCGTGTTTTGAGAAAAATTATTCGAATCGATAATAATAGAAACTTTTTTTTTTTTTTTAATTTTAATCGTTCCCTAATAATTTCGTAATTTATTAAGTAACGAAAAGTGAGGAAAATAATAATACTTGTCCGTCCTGTTCTGTTCCACTCGTCTGATTAATGAATGACACGTGTCGACACTTGTTTGATCATAAATTGATCGTGACCATAATTATTATTATAGAAACACCAGTGTGATGCATGTAATAAAGAGAAGGAAATAATAACGTGTATGTGCGTGTGTGTATATACTCGTTTGATCAATGACTGACATGCACTACTTGTCTCATTACAAATTGATCGTAATAATTATTATTGCAGAAACCCATTGTTCAGCCACGTGATAAAAAGGATGGGAATAATAACGATATACGTTACACCCGTCTGTCCAATGATTGACACGTTCTCTACTCGATCGATCATAAATCGATCGTAATCACCGTAATTACACGTTTTATATTTAATAACGATGATTAATTCAATTGCGTTTTATACTTAAAACAAGTTTAAGGATACAATCCTTCGGAGCCATTCTTTCGGATAAATATACATTCGATCGTAAACTCTGTCCCGATTGCGAGTAATTAACCCGGAATGAATCAAGTTACAACGTGAAATTGCGTAAAAAATATTATCATTTCCTTTGCAAAATCCTTTTCCGCCTCTAATGAAACAATTTTTCGAATTTTCGTGGTCGGGAAGAATGGGAGGATGAGCGCAACGCCGACAAAAAAACCGCTCGAATTCTTTTCCGAGAGGAGAAGTTTTTAATACGCGATCACGAATTTCGAATATATCGAATTTTTAAAACCGCTGGAAATTTAGCGTTTCTCCTCGCCTCGATTCCGACGGATCGACCGTTTCACCAACTTTGGAACGGTTTTAAATTTTTTCCACGTTCACGGGGAAAAAATTTTCGGAATCATTATCGGGGATCTTTGTCCGAAACTTTTCCCGATTCCTTTCCCTTCCTCGACCAATTTGTCGCGGATAATAATTTTCCTGGATACTTAGCAATGATGGATGGCTCTTTGCCAGACAATCGAGAGGATTTGTAAAAAATAATCGACTTGGAGTTTAATTTTCGAAACATTGAGCGACGAATTGTAAATTATAGAAAAAGAAAAGAGTTTTTATTTCCTCTCGAAGGATATTAAGAGTGACAG